AAAACAGACGAGTTAGGCAAAGGCTCCATCTGGGCATGCCATATCCTGTTAAACGAGCTATCCAGAAGCAGGCGACTGATCTCTGGCTAAAGAATTTCCAAATATTGGATGAAGCTATAATGCCTCAATATCCAAATTTTAAAAAAGACGCACTATGGTTAAAAAATTATTTTCAGGAACAACAGAAGAGAAAAAAACTACCACCATATAAACAATTCAACATATATAAAAAATACTTAGGGAAAGTGACTGAAAATTCGACTTCAGTTGCAACCTGTGAACATCTTGTTGAACTTAGTAAGTCAGTTGGATTCATGGCATGGGACAATAATGGAAACACAGGCACTGCAACTTGCTTTGTCTTCAGGGATAATTATATCTTCACCTGTCGACATGTTGTACATCTTTTGGTGGGAAATGACACAGATCCAAGTTGCTGGCCAAATATAATAAGCAAATGTGCAAAGGTAACTTTTTCCTACAAAGAATTCTGCCCAGTTGGTGTTGACTGGTTTTCCTTTGAGCCATGGCTTGAAGTGTCTGATGAAACTCTAGATTATGCCATATTAAAGTTAAGAGAAAATGGAAACGGATTTCCTGCAGGCCTATTTGGACAAATGTCCTCTCCACCATCTAATGGGTTGATTTATTTAATTGGTCACCCAGAAAGCCAGGTCAAAAAAATAGATGGTTGTGCTGTCATTCCTCTAAATCAACGTTTAGGGAGGTACTCAGAGCTTCTCCAAAATGAGGTGGCAGGACCTCATGCTGCCACCTATAATACTTGCCCTATGTTTACCCAAAGAAGTTTCCTATCAGAGGCTTGGTGCACAGACACAGTTAGTTATGATACTTATTTTTCTAGTGGGTCCTCTGGCTCCCCAGTGTTTGATGCATCTGGCAAATTGGTTGCTGTGCATACCTTCGGGCATTTTTATAAACGTGCAGGTATAGTTCATGCCCTTATTGAATTTGGTTGTTCTATGGATGCAATTCTTTCTGATATTGAACAAAAAAAGGAGATCTTGTACAATTTATTAACTGAAAAGAAAAATGAGAACCACAATGAAGACAGAAATAAACAGTTGTCACTTAAAGATCAT